GTGCTTGAGTAGGACTTTAGCAAAGTCACTTTTTTCTTATTTATTTTGTAGGATAAATATTGGGCATTCTGTACTGATTTGACTTTTTTTTTAAATGGAGTCTCGCTCTGTTGCCCAGGCTGGAGAGCAGTGGCAGTGGCACAAAATCAGCTCACTGCAATCTCCACCTCCTGGGTTCAAGCAATTCTTCTGTCTCAGCCTCCTGAGTAGTTGGGATTACAGGCACATGCCACCATGCCCAGCTAATTTTTGTATTTTTAGTAGAGACGGGTTTTCACCATGTTGGCCAGGCTGGTCTCGGACTCCTGACCTCAAGTGATCCACCTGCCTCGGCCTCCCAAAGTGCTGGGATTACAGGTATGTGCCACTGCGCCTGGCTATTTTCGACTTTTGAATGCAGTTATGAGGCAATGCAATGTAGTAGAGATAGTACACCACTATGGTCAAACATGTATGCTTCAGAATCAGTTTGATTTGGGTTTGAATTTTAGCTTTGCCACTTAGCAACTTTGGGACCTTGGGTAAACCACTTTACCTCCCTGAACCTCAAGTTGTTTTATCTTTTAAATGGGGTTAATGATAAGAAAAAGGCATTTGCAAATTATGCATCTGATAAGGCATTAACATCCAAAATATATAAGAAACTCAAAGAACTCGATAGCAAGAAACCAGATAACCCAGTTAAAAAGTGGACAAAGGATTTGAATAGGCATTTATCAAAAGAAGACATAGAATGCCTAACAGCAAAGTGCTCAACATTGCTAATCATCAGAGAAATGCAAATTAAAGCCACAGCGAGGTATCACCTCACACCCATTAGAATAGCTTCTATGAAAAAGACAAAAGAGGCCAGTTGCAGTGGCTCACACCTGCAATCCCAGAACGTTGGGAGGCGGAGGCAGGCAGATCTCCTGAGGTAAGGTGTTCGAGACTAACCTGTTCAACATGGCAAAATCCTGTCTTTACTAAAAATACAAAAATTAGTCAGGAGTGGTGGTACGAGCCTGTAATTGCTTGAACCTGGGAGGCTGAGGTTGCAGTGGGCCGAGATCCTGCCACTGCACTCCAGCCTGGGTGACAGAATGAAACTCCGTCTAAAAAAAAAAAAAAAGACTCATAGAAGGAGAAAGTAGAATGATGGTTACCACAGGCTGGGGGCTGGGCATGAGAGAGGGAATGGGGAAATGCTGGTCAAAGGGTACAAAATTTCAGTTGAGAGAAATAAGTACCAGAGGTCTAATTACAGCATGGTGACTATATTGAATGATACTGTATTATCTACTTGAAATTTGCTAAGACCCTTAATCTTAAATGTTTTTATCACCAAAAAATGTTAAGTATATGATATGATGAATATGTTAATTAACTTGATTTAATTATCCCACAATGCATACATATATCAAAATATCTCATTATACTCTATAAATAGATATATATTTTTTGTAAATTTAAACAATGTAAACTAAAATATGAAAACAAAAGAATGAGGATGATGATAGTTCTTGTGAAAACTGTATGGAGTGATGCATGTAAAATGACTAACGCATATGAAACTCTCAATGAGTATTAGGGGTTATAATGACAAGCAGACCATTTATTAAAACCAATTTTGACTTATTTTTACTATTTTCCAATAGTATTCAATCAATGTTTATTACTCATACAATGCATTCCTTCCTATATCCTTATTGTCAAATACAGTTTTCAAGGAATGTTAATGTAACATATGGAAAACACAAGTCATTTCCATAATGGAAATGTGGTGCCAAAAAACACAAAAGAAGTTCTTTTTTTTTTTTCTTTTTTCATTTTTCTTAATTTCTCAACAGTGAGAGAAATGGCACTGTTGAGAGTTGGGAAGTCCAGATGTTCTGTTCAGCATAAAATATGCAATCTTCTTGCTGGGAGCAGTGGCTCAAGCCTGTAACCCCAGCACTTTGTGATGCCGAGGCGGGTGAATCACCTGAGGCCAGAAGTTCAAGACTAGCCTGGCCAACATGGTGAAACCCCATCTCTACTAAAAATACAAAAATTACTCTGTAATCCCAGCTACTTAGGAGGCTGAGGCAGAAGAATCGCTTGAACCCTGGAGGCAAAGGTTGCCGTGAGCTGAGATCACACCATTGCACTCCAGCCTGTGCGACAGAGTGAGACTTTGTCTCAAAAAAAAAAAAAAAAAAAAAAAAAGTAATCATCTTAAAAATTACAACAAATTGAAAGTAAAAGGGTACACTGTTGATAATTTGGCTGGGAAAGCAGAAGTAAACCACGATTGTCCCAGACAAACTTCCCTACACAGAGGTTATGAGCAAATTTTGGAGTCAGAGAGACTTGAGTTAATTGAAGATCTGTTTTGCTCTTTATGCATTTTTTAAAGTCTTCCATGCTGCCTATTCTTTTATGTTGTTTGCATTCTATAGTATTTTAAGAATACAGGCTCTGAAGTTCAAATATATTTGGGGGTCTGATCTTGCCCCAGCACTTACTGGCTGTGTGATATTAGACGAGTTATTTAACCTCTCCGAGCCTCAGTTTCATCACGGAGAAAATGAGTGTAATGGTAGTACCTATACCATGCCATTTTAAAGATTGTGGTCAGGAAATATGAAAGACTTTCTAGGTAGGTATACGTGAAACAGGTTTGATGAGATTGCACAGTGTGTCCTAGTGGATGAGTAAGAAAAGTGACTATGTAGGTAAGGTCTGTCCAGGTTATGGAGGGCTTTAAAAGTCAGGTAGGATATCTGTACTCAATGTATTAGTAACAGTAGTACTAGCCCCATCTTCAGGACTTCGCTCAAATTTCACCTTGAAGCCAACCCTGACAATTCCAGTGGTGAAAAAAGCAGACAAAAACCCTTGTCCTCATGGAGCTTTTAGTCTAGGGTGAGAGGAGAAAGAAAGCAGACACGTATGATACTGAAGAGGCCATAGTGTCGTGAGGGAAGTGAAGAGACTGCTGATGGGGACTAATGGTAGTGTTGCAAGGGGACAGAATGGGAGGTTTATATTAAGTAATCAGGGAAGTCCTTTCTGAGGAGGTGAGACTTCAGCTGAGATCTGAAAGTTGAGAAAGAGCCACATGAAGAGAAGGGGAAGGGCATTCATGGAGAGTAAATACCATATGCGAAGACCCAGAGGCAGGAAGGAAAACAATAAAGATGAGGCCATTTTGGCTGAAGACTAGTGAGCTATGAAGATAATAAAAGAGGATGATGTGATAGAAAGTGACAGGGGTGGGGGAAGGGGCAGGTCCTTTAAATAAGGGGTCAGGGAAGGCCTCTCTGAGGAAGAGACATTGAATTAAGACCTGAGCAGAGACAAGGAATCAGCCATTCAAAGATAAGGAGACAGAAATTTCCAGACAGAAAGAATGGCCACTGCAAAGGTCCCTAGGTGCAGCATGCTTGGCCTATTGAACAGACAGCAAGGAGGCCATTGTGGCTGGGGTAGAGCCAGTGGGTACAGAGTGAGGGGGGAGATAAAGCTGGACAGCTTGGAAGGAGCCTGATTGTACAGAGTCTTGCAAGCCATGGTAAAGACACTGAATTTTACACCAAGTGAGATGGGAAACATTGGAAGGCCTTTAAGCCAGGGAATATTTCAGTCTCTGTCTTCTTACCTTCTATACTGTTCTTTGGCTTCCGGTGGGTACTGAAGTATCCTAAGCTATTATTTGCTGAGCATATCCTGTCTTGCAAACCGGACAGAGATCCCCTTGAGTCATGGATTGGAGCTTGGGCATTTGGGTATGACATGCCCAGTACAGTGACAGAGCCTCAGAATGAGTATGCATGTGTGTGTGTGTGTGTGTGTGTGTGTGTGTGTGTGAGCATGGGTGTGCATGCATAGGAAGAGAATGAGTGTGTCTTGATGATGTTAATGAACACACAAGCTAGAAATCCAGCTAAAGAAGATAAAATGTACTAATAGCATATTCCATATTTTAGATGTTTTAGAGGGAATGCCAGGGCAAATTGATGAAAGTCTTTGAGTGTGTATTGGGGTTGTGATAGCTGGAATGAATTGTGCTGGGACCAAACATTGCAGGCATCTCTATTTAAGGGGTGAAAAAAGCAATGGCTTCCTTTCTGGGTTTTCTAGGTCTAAGCTTAATTTTCAGGTACAGCTACATTCAGACCCTGACTGGGTAAGACTTTCCTGGCTTCCTAGTGATAATGATGTCTCAAAAACAAGTCTCTTTTGCTAAGGTGAGCTTTTAAGTAGCACATTTTCACCAGAAAGTCTTCAAGCTTTAATCATAACAATATTGATAGTTAATACAGGCATTGTGCTTTATCAGCATTAATTTATTTAAACCTCACAATAATCCTTTTTTATTATTTATTTATTTTTTAAGACAGGGTGTCACCATGTTGGTCAGGCTCCTCTCGAACTCCTGACCTCAGGTGATCCACCTGCCTTGGCCTCCCAAAGTGCTGAGGTTACAGGCGTGGGCCACCGTGCCCAGCCTGCCCTCACAATAATCTTATGAATCAGGTAATCATATGATTAATATTATTTTACAGAAAGAAAACAGATTGTGATAAATTGAGTCATTTGCTTAAAGATACACAGCTAGATACTGGTATAGTGGGATCAGGACACATGTTTGACTGATCCAGAGCCCCCTTTACTATTTTATGATGCCTTTAAAGGTTGGTTTCAACATCCACAGTCCTCACTTACACTGCAATCTGATTGGATTCGTTATGGTAGATCTGCTATCTTTCCATGTTTTTCCTCTCTGTTGGTCTATGTTCTATTTTACTTTCATTATTAAAATCTCCAAATACAGAGGATTTTAGGGCTCAAACAGATGTCAGCTAATCCAGGCAGAAACAGTGCATTACTGCTATGTATAAAAATTCATTTGTTGAACGTAAAAATCATATTTCTTGAACGTAGAAGTCATAACCTTGCCTAGTTTTATATTCCCTTCAATATAAAGCACAGAATAGTCTGTGTGTGAGTGTGTGTGTGTGTGTGTGTGTGTGTGTGTGTACGTGTGGAATGAAAGCCTTTATTAACCTTCTGTTGATTGGACTGTTATTTCTGAAAAGGACACGATCTTGCTGATACTTATAACAACCAGTTCAAAGTTGTGGAAATCACCTTCTGTTGGCTTTCTGACTTGGACTTCCTTGCAGCACTGTTACTTCTTAAAGGGAACAGAATGGCAAATCAGTGTTTGGCCGTAGTCACCATTGATTCCTGGTATTTTCACCTGAGGAGCCTGTGAAGCTTTGCAGAGGCTTCTGGGTAAGTTTGTAAACCTAGCATTGGCCTTCACTAGGCTCCTCCTTTTCCTTATTGTTGAGGGTTGGGAGAGGGAGTGAAACAGCATTTGCATTTCATACTTGCCTTTAGGCCTCAAGCCTAGTCCCAGTGGATGTGCTGTTCTCACTGGGTACTGTTTGGTATTTGTGAAACCTCAAAGGGGGCAGTCTTGGGAGAGGGAGTGAAACAGCATTTGCATTTCATACTTGCCTTTAGGCCTCAAGCCTAGTCCCAGTGGATGTGCTGTTCTCACTGGGTACTGCTTGGTATTTGTGAAACCTCAAAGGGGGCAGTCTCGTGGACTATTCAACTCTCCTTCAACCCTCTAATTTACCCACTGAGTAAGGCAGTAAGGAAAATATATGTAAAAAGTAAAAGTGGTTACTCTGGGGAAGTCGTATACGTGCAAAATGCTTCAGCCTACCTGCCATAGACAAAAATGAGTCATGGTAGAGGACAAGCTAGGGTAGTATCTCAGAACTCTCATGTTCCATGGAGTGTTTGCCTGCTCTTCTAATAACAGAAAGCTCTATAACAGGAGTATTAAAAATAATGCAACACCTCAGAATAGAAACAAGCTGGTGACTTTCTTAGAAGTTGAAATGAGGACCATAGGCTCCTTTTGGAGTATCATCTTTCTGAAGGAATAGGTAGATTACTAAACAAAAGTGACATTTGCATAGAAGTTTGTGCTCCCAAGCACAACTGTAAAATTTCCCTTTAATTGGTGTAGGACTAATACGGTGGTAAAATGAAATCCCACAATTATGGTAGGGAAAGCACAGAATAGTCTTACAGCCTAGATGCTCAATAAATGTTCAATTGACTTGAACTCAGTTTCTAAAACCCAAGATTATATATGATTACTCCCTTTCCAGCCAAACAGGGCTATTCTAAGTTTCTACATAACATCTTTTTTGGGTTAATGGGGTGCAGTGTTTGGTTGGGGGGGGGGTCCACACATATGTTTGGAGTGGATAGAGGGAAATAGCCATAAGTTTTCTAAGACTTATGTCTGATGCAGAAGGGAAATATAATTTTTATTTACCACCCACCTCCTTTACTTCATTCGGTAATATGTTAGTTTATGAAAATATGTAGTATTTTCTAAAAAACAGGGGAGGCAAGAGAGAGCTTGGTAATTTATACTTTGCCAGTCTCATCAGTATCTTAACACAGCTCCCTATTCAGTCAGTGAAGGAGATCCGTGTTGGGAATCTGGACATAGGCCAGTGGTTGCAAAGAGCTCAGGGGTTTTGCCTGTGTACTTAGATCTGGACTGACCAGTCTAGCATGTGGATCAGATCAGGGACTAGTAAATGTCATTTTGTTTTGACATTGTATTGCAATGACAGGAAAGAGGTGTCTGTTTCAGGAGAATAAAAAGAAAAGAATGCATTGGAAAAGTCTGAGTTTGACGTATCCTTAAAAGAAGAATATATGATTTGCTCAGGCTGGGTTTAAAAACATTTCAGAACTAGAATCATCCTAAATCTGGCAATAGGTTAGCTATGTAGTGATGGAAAAGACAGGAAATGTACAGGAGCCTAATACTAAGGACAATTCAGTTTCATATAGAGGGTTTTTTTTTCCATGTAGATACAAATCTGTTACGTAAAATAGGTTTGTTTGCCAAAAAGTCTGTTTTTGTCTATAATAACAATGCAGTTACCAATTGTTGAGCAGGTTTTATATGTCAGGAATTTTGTTTAAACACTGCATGCATTGTCTAATTTAATTCTCACAGAAACCCTATGAAGGAGGTGAAATGTTACTAATGTGGAAACTGAGAGGCTCAGAGTGGTTATGTAACTTGCCCAAGGCCACACATGTAGTAAGTAGCAGAGCCAGAATTCTGAAGTGAATCCCTGGCCTGAGGGCTTTTAATAAGACTAGAATCAACACCTCTGAGGATGAAGACCTGGTCCAGTTTTTAAATTGTACAGTAAAATAATACATCCAAAGACTCTGGGGTATGTGTTCATGTGTGCATGTATATACGTTTTAAGTTCTTTAATGGAGAAAACAGGTAATTTTCATTGTGTTTCTTAAATAATGATTGCTTAATTGCTTTTAATACTTGCAGCCACTTAGTGGTTAAGTGATGTCTGTTAGAAAATTCTCTTGGCAGTCGCTTTTTGAGAAAGATGATCAAAAGCACACCAAGAATGCCAGTTAATGCCATCATTATTTACTTAGTATAAATTTACAATAACAGGAAAATATGCTCATAGAAATAAAATATCATCTAAAGTATTTAAAGAATTGAAAATGATTCCCATCTTTGTTGTTTGGCCTTACCTTCCTTTAAAAAATAAACAAACCTGTTTATCACGTTGTTATAGGAAACAATGACCATGTTTATAAAAAAAAAAAAGGCAAGCTTAGGTAGGAATAATAAATATCATCTTGGATGAAAAGCCTTTGTAAGTGCCTTTTTGATCCTTGAAATATTCTTTTGAAGAAGGATATGTGGCTTAAGGGTTAATTGATAAATCAGACACCAAGGAACTGTACCTGTGGTTACCCACTGCCAAAACAACATAAAAATGGGTAGATAAGTTGCTCCAAAATTAGGTTAACTTAAAATTGTTTTCACTTTCTCCTCACATACCCTTTGCTCCCATTAAATCAGTTGATCCTCACATACACCTTGTGTTTTGTAACTTAGTGTTTTTTCTCATGCTGTTCCCTCTTCCTGGAATTCCGTATATCCAAATCTCAACCCATTCTTCCAAATTAGCTCAGGTGTCACATCCTCTATGAAGTGCCTCTGATCCCCTCACAGAAGCAGTATCTTTTGTGTCTCTCCATCCCCACCTTTCTTGCATTAGCAATCTTATAGAATTTTATTTGTGTAGTTCTTGAGTCCCCTCTCGCTTTCCACCTTGAAATTTAGTTTTTAATTCATTTGTCTTATGTCTTCTATTGGTCTTTAAGTTTCCTATAGTCAAAACCTATTTTCACTCAGTTTTAGGTAGATCTCAAATACCAAACACAATGCTTTGAATAACAACATCACTCAGAAACATCCATTCAGATTCGAGTGCTTACCATGTGCCAGATACTAGGCCTTCAGGGTGACTGAAACAGTTTCTTCTCTCCAGGTACTCATGGGAAGCAGACATATCAACAGACTTTCAATATAATTTGGTAAGTAATAAGGTAGAGTCATGAACACAGTGTATGGAAACCTGGAGTAGAGACTTGATCAAGTAGAAAGCCTAGGCTGGAAGATGGACAGTCTTGGTCAGAAAATGGAATGTATGAATCTATTATTTCAAGGTGAAGCCATTTTGGAAGGTGGCAATATCTAGGATGTGACCATAAGAGTTGTGTAGGCAAAGGAACGTGAGTATAGAATGTGGGATAGCTCTTCCAACTGGCCAATGGTACCATGAATTGAGGTACCAAGGATGCCAGTAAGCCAGATGCCAGAGTCCTCAGTGAATGAAGGAAAACATCCAAAAGAGGGGTAGATGATCATCCTGGGAAGGAGTAAAACATGGCATCTGCAGATGGTGTGAACTTCATGAGCAGTGAGGCTTTTCATGAAGCTGAAGCAATGGCCTGGTAAGGGCAAATGGGAGGCAGGCAGGTGCTGGATCCCTATGCTACCTGACCCTCTCTATCCCAGAATTTGATGTTTAGAGCTCAAGAAACTTCTTCTTCTTTTTTTTTTTTTTTTTTTTTTTTTTTTTTTTGAGACAGAGTTTTTGCTCTGTTGCCCAGGCTGGAGTGCAATGGCATGATCTCAGCTCACAGAAACCTCTGCCTTCTAGATTCAAGAGATTCTCCTGCCTCAGCCTCTTGAGTAGCTGGGATTACAGGCGTGTGCCATCACACTCAGCTAATTTTTGTATTTTTAGTAGAGACGGGGTTTCTCTATGTTAGCCAGGCTGTTCTCGAACTCTTGACCGCAGGTGATCCACCCACCTCAGCCTCCCAAAGTGCTAGGATTACAGGCGTGAGCCACTGCGCATCGCTCCAGCAGCTTTAGTTGGAGAGAGATGCATTGTGAGGCTCATTGTATTTGTAGAGAGCCAAGTCTTTATTAGAGCAGGAAAGAGGTGTTCCATGAAAACACTGAGGGTATAGAGGTGCTTATTTACAAGTTGAATGACTGTAGATCATGCTGATACAATCAGAGAGCTAAAAGTGGAATAGTCCACGTTCATCATTTTAAATTTGAATACTCTGAGGCCCAATGAAAAGAAATAACTTTTCTCCTCAAGCTTCCATAACTGAATATAAATTTTTTTCTAGCAGTTATTTTGATGCATAGGTTTTTTGAACATGGATGCTTGAAGCACATGAGTGGTCTATAAAGACCTCCCAAGGTAGGTTGTGGGCTACTTCATAGTATAGCATTTCTAACATGATAATCCTACGAAAGCATACAAAAACGATGTTTTGACATTAAGAACCAGCATATGAAATTCAATAAACATATGTCAGTACTCATTGACATTTATCACAGTAGCATGTTCTTCCTACATATTTATGGATGATTTATTTCCCCAGCTCCCCCAGCCCTAATCCTATAGTGAGTCTTTTGACTATATGGTTTTTGAAGCTCCCACTCACACTGCTCAGCTAAAACAGTTCTCACTAAGGTCGCCAATGACAATCAAGTCACTAAGTCTAACATTTTCATTCCTCATCTTATTCAATCCCTCAGTAGCATTTGATACAGACAATCTTCCTTTACTTCTTCTTTTTTTTTTTTTTTTTTTTTAGACGGAGATTCGCTCTCGTTACCCAGGCTGGAGTGCAATAGCACAATCTCGGCTCACAGCAACCTCCGACTCCTGGGTTCTGGCAATTCTCCTGCCTCAGCCTCCTGAGTAGCTGGGATTACAGGCATGCGCCACCATGCCCAGCTAATTTTTTGTATTTTTAGCAGAGACGGGGTTTCACCACGTTGACCAAGATGGTCTCGATCTCTTGACCTCGTGATCCACCCGCCTCGGCCTCCCAAAGTGCTGGGATTACAGGCGTGAGGCACCGCACCCGGTCCCCTTTCCTTCTTACAGTACATTTTGCCCTTGCCTTTTATGAAACTACAGTCTCCTTGCTTTATTCGGTCACTTTTTTGTTACTCCTCTGCAGGTGTATCCTCCTTTACTTGGTTATTAAGCATTTAAGTTCATCAGGGCACTGTTACCATCCCACTCCATACTCTTTCTCTGAGTGATTTAATCTGTTCCCATGACTTACAATATCTTTATGCTCAGGATGTCTCTGGAGTTTAAAAAAGATTGATCTCTCCAACCCAAGTTTCTCCTATGAACCTTAAACGTTTATGTCCAACTCAGCAACTCCACTGGGCTATCTCAAGGGTATCTGGAATTGAACTGGCCTGAGTATGA